GCTGGTGCCAATGGGCTAACATGATCATACGTGTCGATAAATGCATCACTTTTGGAATAAAGAAATTTTCCACACGTTCTCTTCAGTATCAACCTAAGCTTTTCATAAACAACGAATCTATCCCACCTGTCTCGAATGGAAATTCTTTTAAGTACCTCGGTCGTCATTTTGACTTTGAAATGACAAACCAAGAACATAGATCTGATCTTTTATCATCACTGTCCAACATGCTCAAACAAATTGATTCCCAGCCTCTACATGCAAAAAATAAGTTGCTTCTTTATCACAACTTTGTTCTTTCTAAAATCTCTTGGAACCTTACTGTAGCAGATCTTTCAAAGACGTGGGTTGTCGAGAATCTTGACAACCTTGTATCCAAATACATCCGCCAGTGGCTCGACCTCCCAATAAGTGCTACCTTGAGTAGCATTATTCTTTCTAAAAACCAGTTTGGACTCAGCCTAACTTTACCATCCGCCAAATTCCTACAGTGTCAAACTATTTTACGAAACGCATTGAAATCTTCACCAAACGATAACATTCGCTCTTTATGGAAAAATACCAGCAGTAGCACAAATATACAATATGATATATATAGGAACACGAAAGAAGCATTAAAGGCTGTCCAGCAAGAACATAAAGATCGTCTGCAAAACATTCTAACTTCCCAAGGATCTTTATTGTCACATCTTTTTAACCAGGATCTTCCACAAATAAACAAACTTTGGTCCAAGGTGCAAAGTAGCATGCCTCAGAATATTTTCAATTTCACCATAAGGTACCTGAACAATACCCTTGCTACACAGAAAAACTTGAAAAAGTGGAACTTGAGCCAGACTTCTGATTGTTCTTTCTGTTTTCTGCCAGAAAACCTCCTTCACGTTGTTGCTGGCTGCAAAACATACTTGGAACAAGGCCGATACACCTGGCGTCATAACTCTATCTTAAACTTTCTAGCTACGTCTCTTAAAGCTGTTAATGAATCTACCATCTACGCTGATATACCTGGCTATCTTTCACCATCAATCATAACTGGAGAAAACCTTCGTCCAGATCTTCTCTTGAAGACTAACAACAATTACCTATACATCTTAGAGCTTACTGTTGGTTTTGAATCCAATCTTGACACAAATGCAACAAGAAAACACAGCAAGTATGCTCCTCTCCTATCTGACTTACAGCGAAAGTTCAAATGTGTCTCTTTTGTGAATCTTTCTATGAGCTCTCTTGGCATCTTTGGCAATTCCTGCATCTCTTTCTTCAAAATGTGTGACTCTCTCTCCATCGATCAACAACAAAAACGGTATCTCATCTCTAAACTTTCCAACATTGCCATTCGTACTACGTACTACATATTTTGTTGCAAAAATAAACCATGGACAAATCCGGAATTACATCCGTTTTAATTTTGGTTGTTTTATTTTTCTCAGTTTTTCCTTTTACCTTACGATTGTTATAGTTTTTTCTTGTAAAACCAGGCTAGCCAATTGCAAATTACCTTGTAATAGTGAGATTTGTAATTGTAGTTTAAGTTGAATTGAAAATGAAATGTTTCCATCATTATTATATATTGCAAACTAATGGAGAATGGATCATAGGCTGGAAAATGGGCAACCTTTTGGGTCTAGTCTTCATTGACAATAAAAATGCTGTCGACATTGTATATCATGATATCCTCTGCAAACGATCTCTTTCAGATCCCATTTAACAAGCCTATAGTAACTCTGTAGGGTTAATAGGGTGTATGATATGATATAATATTTATATACGAAATTAAACCCTTCAGTATTTAATAATAACTATATACAATCTAAGGAATAAATGTGAAAATCAAAGGCAAGATTTGAGTAAATTTTCAATATTGCTGTTCTTCCAGGGGGTCGTGTTTTGACGTTAATGTATTTTGTCAGCCAGTATGTTTGCTTTCAGTTGTTCTTTAAAGCACCCAAGAGTTGAGGGTATATTCCAATTAAGGGAGCAAACAATTTGAGATTTCACAAGTCTAGACCCACATCTAGCATATCCATCTATGTTAATGGTATCTGTTCGTGCTACCACTCTAACGACTTGACTCAGCTGAATGAGGCTGTTAACGGTGATGTTAGCAAATTTGATACTTGGTTAAAAAAACGCAGTGATCTTCAAATTTGCAAATCACTGTGACGGCACAATGCCACCTTGGTCTTCGAATTTTTTTCTATTTAATTTAAGACTCTGATTGAAAATTTGGCTGTCAATTTGTGACCTTCGGAAAATACGATTTTTTAAATTCAAGTATGAGAATTTTGCTTTATTGGCACCTCAAGAAAAAATATGGATAAATTGCGTTTTCTTCAAGAGTCTGATTTTTTGTTTTCTTCATATTAAACCTTTACGCGTCGTTTCGCATTGTTCCTGCCTATCTTATATAATCATAGAAGAAACCTGGCTAATCAAATTTTCAGCCCTTAGACTCTTATTTCTGAAACAAAACGAACGGACCAATTGAATTGCATGTATATGGCAAAAACTGTTAAGAAAATCTTCTAGAATCGATGAGAATGCTTGACAAAATTGTCCCACGATGCATCTATCCTTCAAGCAGTTGACTTTTGACGTAGCATAGGCAATCTCGCGGCGTAAGAAACAACGTAGAAGTACTTACAAAATGTGTATCAGCAGATGCCTGAACAAAAAATTATGATTTGATACTGGTTGATTTCGTTTGTATTCTCTCCCATTCTGATAATCGTATCATAAAGAAAACAAGTCTTGTTTCAATACGGGGCCAGTGATCAACTGAAAGATGCAAAATGCTGAAAAGAATTTCCAACGGACAAAGCAATTAAAACAGGTTTCCAAGTTATGAACGTTCTCGAGACTTATTAACAAAAATATACAATTAACTCATTAACAAAAATCTCACAATATATACCAGTGAAAGATCGCTAGCTTTCTATTACAAACATAAAATTCAAAAAGTAGATGCTCCTATAAGACCAATATTATCAAGGTTATAGCTTTGTATCATATATACTCTCATCACACCTTGATTATTAACTTCGTTCTTCAGTAAAAAAGCTCTTGATACGAGAAGTGTGCAATTCCAACAAATATTTTACACCGATATTCACATCAATCTCCGAAGATTTCTTTGATGTTTAACTATGGTAGGCAAAAATCTTCCAGATGAAGGACTCTAGGTTTGCCAGGTATTACAATAAAGTGGTATGGGAAACCTCCCCCGACCCAAACATTTCAGTGTGGATAATTCCAGAGAGCTCATACTTTGTTTATTAAAAATCTTCTATGTTTGCTACTAAACGTTTCAACCAAAAACCACCTGAATTAGCTGGGAATCCAGATAGATCATTCGTTGGAGAATCGGAGCTGGCATATACGCGGGATTGGATGCCGAAAGCTTCCATGGACGCAGCATTTTGAAAAGGAGCAAATCAATACTGTGAAACTTAGAGACTAAAAAATTATAACAAAAAAAGCAAATCAATAAAGCATTAATAGAAAGCTTTTACTTCAGGAGTGTTTCTTTGGAGATTTCACGACCCTTTTCTGCACGAAGCCATAAATCTATCTTTGATGAGATCAAGACAGCGCACTTGCGCAAGGGCACGACCATAGGCTTCTTGATTTACAAAGCGACGGTATTTCTATATCCGTAGTAATCTGTGAACCTTAAATTACAAGAGAAATTAACAAAAAATTTATGATGGTTCTGATGTAGCGAGCGTAAGTTGAATTGGTTCAGAGATGATACATACAATTTTATCGATAACACTCTTTTGGGACAATGTCCTCAACCAAGGTTACATGGTTGGGTAAACATGATATTCAAAAATCATTTCTTCAGCAAAATTCAACAAAAATATATTGAATATATACAGTGATGTGTTAAAAAGTTCCACAACAACCTGTCAATTATAAATATATAGTGTGAATTTCAAAAAGCTTTGTCACTGGGTACTGGATATTCACTTTTTTCACTGTTAAATTACTCACTCTCTTTAAATAATTCACTAACAAAATAAAAAACCAACAGAAACTTGCTAGTTTGAAATAACAGAAACTTTGACCAATCCCTCTAAAATGACAAATCCCTAAGGCAATGTGTAATGGCTGTGGGGCAGGGGACAGGGGGCCAAAGCCTCTCAATTTTCAAATTTGTCGAATTTTCAGAAAAATCACGGCTATGTCAAAAAATTCTCAAACTTGATAAAAAAGGTATAAGAGAGGTGAAACAAACCTTTTAGCAAAATAAATTACTTGGACTAAAGTATTTTCAGTACTATAGAGGGGCTATTCTCTCTTGTAAAGAAGGTATATACTAGATTTCCACACGAAATGCTTTCTTTTTATGAAATGCTTTCCATTCAATTTGCATAATGATAGGACTTAGAGCTTTAGGAATAGCTCTATAAGAATGGGCTGGTCATGTAAGTCCCAGGATATCACTCAAAAGCCAGCCAGGGCCTCAAGATAAAAAAGCAAAGATTACCTTATTGCTGATGTATTGATAGGTTTTGGGTCAGTTGAACCCTTTTTCTTTGCCTTTCGTTGCCTTCTTGGTTTCTTTGCAGCAAGTTTCTTCTTTTCTTCTATTCGCTTTTTCTTTAGCCATCTAGTTCAATGTTTATGGTAAAATTACTTTAAAAGACCAATTATTAAGACCAATTGGCGTAAAGGACAAAAATTTCTATGGAACAAATTTTCTCTATAATTGCAAACAAATTCTTGATATATTTATATTTTTAACATACATATACAGCTTATTCTGGATGACAGACAAGCAGCTGCCTTGATTTTTAAAGGTTATTCTTTAAAAAACCTATTTGCAGGATTTAACAAATTCATTAAAAAAAACTTTGTTCTTGCCTATATTTTGACCTATATTCTAAATTTTGTAAAAATATATATGTAAATAATTTTTGGTGGTACAAAATTTGAAAATGGCTTTGAAAAAAGCAAACATTTTGCAGGATAGTCAAAGCCTCATCATCAATATATTATTAACTGGCAATCTCTAGGATCTCAAAAGCAAATAATAGTCTAAGATTCTATCCTTTTATGAGTTTTTATCAAATTTCAAAACAGAGTAAAATTTCACACAAATACAAATATTGGATGGTAAGAGTTTCAGAAGAAACAAAAAAAATACAAGTTTTGAACTTGAAACCTATCTGAAACTATTAGAAATTATTATATATAATGGGGAAATGATGAAATTTTACCTGTTGAATGCTTCCTCACATGTCTGTCTTTCTCTTATAACGTATGTTGACACTTCCTCTTCAAATTTTCTTCTTTCCATTTCCTTTTCTTGCTTTTTCTGTTTGGACTTTTCATGCAACCAAACCTCATATGCATCTTGCGCAGCTTTATTTCTATCTTCTTTCAATTTAGAATCATTCTTTAAACCCAAATACTTTCTCTTTTCAAGAGCCTCTTCATTTTTAATCTTTAACCAAGCCTTTGAATAAAATTAAACTTTGTTAAAAGGCACCAGACATAGCAAAACAACGTGCAAACACAAGAAAACTATGAAAGATGCATTTTTGGTTGCCATTCCAGCCATTCCAGTGGGCTACTTTGATAATCAAACTTACAACTAATTAATTAATCATATAAGACAACAAAGATGGTGAAAAATGGGAAAAGCAGAATTAAAAAACGAAAGCACCAAAATAGCTGGTTTAAAAACAGAAAAACTCTCAGTAGCTCTTTAAAATAGAAAGTATAATTGGAAAACAATGTGCAAACAAAATGTGGTTTACAAAAAAGATAAGAAGATTTCCTTGGGTTCAAAAGCTTTTTAGAATCAAACCTGGAATGCCTTTTCTGCTTCATCACGCTTCCTGTTATTCTCTTCCTGAAGCCGTTCATCTTCTTCTTTTTTCCTTCTTGCAATGGCCTCTTCCCTGCGCCTTTTCATTTCCAACTGATGATCAGTCATGGCATATCTGGATTTTATATGTGAATATTCATCATAATTTCTCTCCCTCGCATACGAGCTCTTTGCTCTACTTTTTTGGGGCACTTTGCTTGAGCCAGCTTTCAGTGGGGAAGTTTTTGGCCTTGGGGATGTCCTGTTACTTGGGTTATTTTTCGTTGAGTCCTCCTTCATTGATTTTGCAGACTCCAAAGGTGGCTTCTCTTCTGGTGACGATTCTTTACCTAGGTCCTCCTCTATTCCCATCATCTGAAAGTATTCTGCTTTTACTTCTGACGCATCAACCAACTCAAACTTTCCATCCCTCTCTATCAAAATACGATCACCCACAATATCATTTGAGCTAAATTTGATATCTTCAGATTCAACGTCTACTTTACTCAGTTTCTCTGCCAGTGCTGGCATATCATTGTCAATCAACCCACTGTTTACATGTCCGTTGCTGGTTGTTTCTTTCAAAGAATCCTGATCAGAATCAGAATTTGCATATTTATCTTCATCACCAATCTCTTCTCTGCGTGGGGAGTTACCCTCGTCTTCTGATGTCCCAGAAACAGATATATCTGGCAGTTTAGGTTTTAATTCTTCTGCCATTGTATCGAGGTTTAAAAGCACCACTTAACTTCCAAACAAGACTGACGCAAACACTGGACTAACACCATCCAGTACCAAAACACAAAGGCTGCAAAAAAACACTTGGACCCTGGGAAAGAATATTTAATACTTATGCTTTCCACTGGATGACTTTTTTATTCAATTTCAAGTGAAACCTAAATCTTTGTAGGTGCCTCAAAGATTCTTGATAAAATATATATTTTCTTGCTGTTTGTTTGTGTCCCCTTGACTTGTTCGTGACCTGCCAGACGACGTTATCACCATTATCTAATGCCAACCGCTCACAACAACAATAAGAACTTTGTGTAACTTATCGGTTCAGCATGTAAGCAATTTGCTAGTGCTTTACAATCCTCGATAA